ATCTAAGCAACTATATGACTTAATTTTAAAAATAAGCATGCAGAATAATAATTTGCTTTTGGAAAAGCAAATATATTTATTGGTTTGCCTGCTAATTAAAAAATGGAAATCTGCTGGCTGAAAAATACAGGTTAAACTTCCAAGAGATGAGTCAGAATTATTGCATCTAGCTTCGCTAGTTTAACTTTATAGATAATGACTTTATGCTGCCTTTGTGATAACTATTACCATATTTTCTCAATAAATAGTTTAAGGAAAGCAATAGGCTTTTATCTTACAGCTTTTATATTAGTCTTCATGAAATACCAAGAATCAAAAGTGTTAAGTTACTAGAAAAATACATGAGTACAGCATGTTCTTTACATACCACCATGGTAGGCTTTGTTGAGTTTCTGCATTGCTAATAGAAATTCAGAAAAAGAACAGTTCTTCCACCGCTCATCTGTCAGCTTGTCGTACTGTGGTGACTTGTATGTTGCTGTGAGGCTGGAGGCTATGCCATCGGTATTTCAAATACTAGTAGGGTCACCTAGGGTGGACAGGTTTCAGCAGAGCTTCCAGACTAAGACAGACTGGGAAGAAGGATGAGGTCATCCACTTCTGAGAAAAATTGGCCAGTGAAAACCCTATGAATAGCAGTGAAACACTGTCTGATACATTACTGGAAAACTTTTCCTTGAGTAGTCAACACTAATACAGGCTTTTGGGTAAAGGGATACTTATATCTTCAGTTGTAGATTATTTACTTTTATATATAAAAAATACAAATATTAAATATTGAGTTCATCTTAGAAGTAGGATTTTTCTATAGGATGTAAAGGAGAACACTTAACAGTTTTTCTCTGGCATCAAATTGGTTGGCTTTGAACCAATCAATGTACTTTAATTGATAATTCCCACTAATAGGTTAAATTGTTAAAAAGACAAAAATGTGCATTATCATGTTTAATAGAACATATATTTTAAAATAGGTATGTGTTTAAGTTAGCAATGCAGCAGTATAATAAGATCTATCCCATTTTTAATATTAGAGCAGTGTGCACTGTGAACAGTATACATCTGTGAAGGAAGTCTTTATATATGGCCGAGAGCAAAAATCAAGTGCTGTCGATCTCATGTTTGTTGCAAATATTTTCCCCAGTCTCTTTTGCCTTTTAATTTTGTCTGACCTTTTAGTTTCCTTGTTTTACATTTTCCTCTGTTCCAGACATTGCTAATTGTAAGCCTTTGTTTGGGCTTCAGAGAATCTGTGAACTCTTTAAAATT